TTTATTAAGTATTTATCGTGTTATGTTTTGATTTTATTTAAACACAGCCGTTTTCCAAAAAGGATTCTGGGAGAAAACCGTATTCACTCTGTATATGACTGTACACTCTCTAGTATATAACAGGAGAAAAGAATTTTTGCTACTGTGCAAGGAATTTGTGTAGGTAGGAATCAGCATCAGGTGCGCTGAGCCACTAGCATGAAAGCTTTTCGCTTTGCTCACAGCACAATGTAATTGTCTGCTTTTATTTTTAAATCCATATTCAGGCTAAAAATCCATCAACTATATTAACAGGTTGATGTCTCATGTACATAATAAATTGTTTCTAATATGAAATAAGAGTGTATTTATTTCATATTGGTTATAGTCATTGATGTGTACCAACAAGAAAAAAATGACTATATTCTGTAATCATATATTATCATTCCCATTGTAAATCGTGACCCCTCTCTCTCCCCCAAAATATAGTTCCCACAGCACCTGAGCAACCTGCAGATGAAGTGGAGAATCAAATAAAACCACCTGATCCAAGGCCCGGTACCCCTCCTGAGTACAGTTCCCATTTTATTCCGGGTAGGTTAAGTATTTGGAAAGAATCTCTCCCCTCTCCAGAAAACCATACTAATACTTAAGATTGCTTTTTTAATTAATTACTTAAGTGATTCAATAAATAAATATTGAATGCCTTCAGGGTGCCAGGTAGTTTACTAGGTGTTAATTAGAGTTACATTCTTGTCTCCATAGGATTTACACTGGGGAAAGAAGTTGTACAACATTGATGGCATTCTCTTTGCTAGACTATGAAAAGAATGTTGCAGAAGCACAGAAGGCAGTAACTGACTCTCCCAGGGATTTGAGGGAAGCCCTAACTAAGGAGTCAAGTTTTGCTTGCCCAGTGAGGAATTTCTCAAAGAAAAGGGGAAAGGGGCCATACCTGGCAGAAAGAACAGTATGTCCCAAAGCACAAGGTCATGAAGGTCTAGTATAAGTCATGCATGGGACAAATGGCAGGAAAAGTACAGAAAACTGGAGGTAAATAGCTTTGAATTCTGATCAAGGACCTGGTAATATTCTCTAGTTCTGCAAATATTTTTGTAAGTCTGAATACATGCCACACTGTACTCAGGGACTCAGGAAAATGGATATTCATAGGTATTTAGACAGTATGTCACACTTTTTAAATTGAGAATACACTCACTTTTGACTAACGAAATAGTTTAATAAGATTATATTCAAATACATTTTAATGACTTAGAAAATTATAAAGTATAGTAATATTTCTTTAACTATTAAGTGTGTATGTAGAGGTAGAAACCAGTAAGTTAGGCTGTTAAAAGGGGGAAAGAAACCCCACTATCCACAGGATGATGTCAAGGATGTGGTTTTGGCTCCAGACATATGACCCATGGAGCACAGGTAGCCTTTGCTTCTGCATTGTTTTCTGAGAAAAGCAGGGCTTCCTTTTCCCCTTTCCCTCACCTGTATGCATGTTGTGTGGATCTGATCCAGTGTAACCCCTCATTATGGCTTAACTCCTGCTAAAATTAAGGTTTTGACAATCCTATTTTATAATCTTGCTGTATCTGACCATTTCTCTATGTTTTACTTCATTGACTATCAACATGATCTACATAATGTACCTTATATTCACCAGTCACTCTATATCCAAGAATCTGGGTTCCACTAGAGCAGACTCTCCACCATTTTGAAGAAGTAAACATTCATTATAAATCATGTTCTGCTCATTTGGGAAAGTGTCTGTCCATTCCTTTTTGTATCAAAAAATTAGCAGGTTACAGTCATCAAATTAAATGGCTAGGTACGTTGAAAAATAATATGATGCAAAGCATACAGCTAATGAATTTTCAGTTGTGAAGTACAGTAACAAAAATTCACTGTGTTCGCCATCTAGTGGCTGAACTATGTACTTCATACTGATGCAAATTCTCTCCCCTTAATTCACATTAAGGAACTTGAAATAACTGTCCTTGAAATATTTAGCTTTAATGAATTCCTTTAAATTCAATTATGTAATTTCCATTTGCATTATACTGCCAGCTGTTTGTCCCCACTGAAAATAATTTTTCCCCAAACATGTTTAAAAGAATAGTTAATATAAACATTTGTTACATGTAGTCAATTTAAAAGAGAAAATGACTTACTGTTTTAAAATAAAAAAGGATAATAATATTCCCTATAACTAAGAAAACACAAATCCCTAAAGCAGTATTTCTCACGCTTGTATTGGTAAGACAATACTCCATAATAAAGTTATTTATTTAAATAGATGTGGGATACTATAGTTACACAAAGTTAAACATGTTTTGTTTTGCTGCGTTTGCCTGCAGAACAATCAAAGCCCTTAATGGCAATTTTAAACGTTAAAAGGGAATATAAAAGATACCATTTCCCACAAATAATTAGATTTGTTTTTCTTCACTTCTTTTAACATCTCTGAATAATACATTATTTTAACAAAAGTCATTTGATTACATATATTTGTATTTAATTTTTCCTAGAAATATAATCTCTATACTGAATAGCCCTATAATCTAAACTGTAATTTTACCCCTGATTTATTGAGCTTCAAATTTTATTCCATGAGGTACTTTTAAGTTAAAAATCACACTGTTGATATCACCAGAGTTAATCATCAACTCACTGAAATGATAGAACAATTAACATTTTTGAGACAGTTCATATGATTTTTAGACACATCTTTTTTTTTAATAGTAGTTCTAAAAAAGAGAGATGGATACTGAATTTCCAGTCCAATTTGGGTACTCTTAAACACAATTATTAAAGGAATTAAAGTATATTCTTCACAACAAACTGAAATACGTAATTTCCTCCATTTTTTCTGAAAACATTAGATCTTTTTTCTCACTTAGCTCTAATTTGACATTGTTTCTAGTTATCATTATTTTTCCTTTAGTCTCTCCTGACTTGCAGTCTCTATCAAGAGCTCAGTGTCTTCTACCCTTAAAAATTGGTCTTCCCCGGAGTTCCTTGGGCCACTCCCCTGTCCTGCCCTGCCCTGCCCTGTCCCCTCTCTCACGTCTTCCATTCATACCTGTCCTTTTACACTCTCCTAAGTAATCCTGATAATGCCCATGGCTTCAGTTGTCTTTAACCACTTATGAATCCCTAATCCCCCACCCCATATCAATCTCCTCTGCTCTAAACTTACTTCCGCCTGCCTGTGGACCACTTCCCCTGGGTGACCCAGGATCTCAAACTCAATGATCCTCAATCCAACTTCGACTTCCTCCTTCCAAACACGTACTCACTGTTCTTTTTCTACACTGAAGGTCTGCAGGAACCCAACTCAGAAACCTGAGAATCTTTTCTAATATCCAGTCTGTTACCAAGGCAACATGTCTCTTAAATGTCAATTATTATTTCTCCACTTTCTACTCCTTTCATCACAACTTCCTTGCCTCCTATCTGGACTCCTGCAGGCACCTCCTGCCTAATCTAATCTTCTCATTTATAAAGGTTCTAAATGGAAAACTAATCACTCCACTTTCCATTTAGCATAAAGTTCATGCTCTTTGTGCAGAGCGTACATAGGTCTTCTATGATCTTCGCTTCCTCCCCAGTTCCCTTTCTGCTTTGTCCACTGGGTCTCCATACTTGACCTTTACTCCTGCGGCACTGAGCCTCCCCTGGGCAACTGTGCGATTTGCACCTGCTCTATCTGTAAAACCTCTGCCCCTCGTGGAGGGGCTGGCTGGGTCTGCTGTGTCAGCACTTGCGTCACAAGGGATCTCCTCCGCCTAGGTTATTTGCCTCCTCTCTGATCTTTTCACACACTACGTGGCTACCTAGGAGTATGTTACCCAGCCGGGTCCTTGGACTGTTCAATCAGTAGAAATTGATAGGAGGCCAGACGAGAAATTCAGGCCAGGCTTTACTGGGACTCAGGCTGCAGCACGAGGGAGCAAAAACAAGAAACCATGTGCCCTTGCTCACTCCCCGTTTTGGGGCAAGCTGATTCCTTAGATGGGGTGAGCGTAGGGACAGATTGGTGATTCATGCAGGAGGCATAGCTTAGGGGGTCTGCCCCCCCCCTTGGGGGTGCTGTGAGCGTAATACCCTGATTTTGCACACAACTGTTTGTAATATTTCCTTACGATACACTTAAATTTCTGTAAGGTTTTAGTAATGTCCCCATTTTCGTTCCTGATTTTAATAATTGAAGTCTATTTTTTGACTTGGTCAGTCTGTCGTAAGGTTTTTCAATTTTGTTGATCTTTTAAAAGAACCTACTTTTGGTTTTGCTGATTTGTCTTTTTTCTTTTTTTAATTTCATATACTTCTAGTTTAATCTTTGTTATTTCCTCCTC